CAGGGCCCGAGACTGTTCACTGCCTCCCACACACAAAGGGGATTCCCCACCAAACCCCGGGCATTCTTCAAGCGGCCGGACAAGCACCAAAATCTTTCCTGATCACCCGGGGCTGGGGCTCGTACGGGGGGTTTGCGTGCACCACCCGCAACACCCCCGGTTTGATCAGGCGCTGATCCACCAGGGGGCCTGGTCACAGCCCGGGGCCGCGGGGGCGTTGCCCCCCGGAACTCTCTCCGGGTAAACACGGGCCCGAAAATGGGTACCTGGGTATTGGGAGTTTTCCCTGGAGAGAGTTTGGGGGGTCAACGCCCCCGGGGCCCCGGTTTTGTGCCCAGGCCTCCTGGGGGAAACAGCGCCTAAACAACCAGGCTGTTTTCTGCCCGGGTGCACGCAAACCAACGTACGAGCCACAGCCCGGCTGTCAGGGAAATGACTTTTGGTGCTTGTCCATTCCAGGGTTGAAGACGCCAGGGGTCTGTTGGTAATCCCCCTTTTGGTGCTGGGAAAGGGAGTTTAAAAAAGTCCCCGGGCCCCTACCTTTTTTGTATGGGGCTCTTAACGTGCTAGTGAAAAAAAAACCCCCTGCTTTTCATTGGGGGGGTGGGGCATCGTCTGCCAAATCTTTTGCTTTCGTAATGAGTGATTTTTGTGTCAAGTTTGTACTAGTCCCTCTAGGGGTTTTTTCCGGGGTATATACATGTATCTCTTTCCCCCCTGCTTCCAGGGGAAAACAGGTTTTTGGGAAAACCCCAAGCGCTCCCAGTAATTGAGGTGTTTTTTCCCGTTTTCGGGGCCCCGTGAAAGTTTCTCTGTACATTTTCTAGGTCGGGGGAATTTCACCGCCCCTTTAAAGGTGCTGTTAGAGTGCAGCAATATTCCAGCCAAAATAGAACAAGTGACCTGAAGAGTGTCATCATGGGCTTGGCCTCCCTAGTTTTGAAGGTTCTCATTATCCATCCTGTCATTTTTCTAGCAGATGCGATTGATACAATGTTATGGTCCTTGAAGGTGAGATCCTCCGACATAATCACTCCCAGGTCTTTGACGTTGGTGTTTCGCTCTATTTCGTGGCCAGAATTTGTTTTGTACTCTGATGAAGATTTAATTTCCTCATGTTTACCATATCTGAGTAATTGAAATTTCTCATCGTTGAACTTCATATTGTTTTCTGCAGCCCACTGAAAGATTTGGTTGATGTCCGCCTGGAGCCTTGCAGTGTCCTGCAATGGAAGACACTGTCATGCAGATTCGGGTGTCATCTGCAAAGGAAGACACGGTGCTGTGGCTGACATCCATGTCTATGTCGGATATGAGGATGAGGAACAAGATGGGAGCTAGTACTGTGCCTTGTGGAACAGAGCTTTTCACCGTAGCTGCCTCGGACTTTACTCTGTTGACGACTACTCTCTGTGTTCTGTTAGTGAGGAAATTATAGATCCATCGACCGACTTTTCCTGTTATTCCTTTAGCGCGCATTTTGTGCGCTATTACGCCATGGTCACACTTGTCGAAGGCTTTTGCAAAGTCTGTATATATTACATCTGCATTCTTTTTGTCTTCTAGTGCATTTAGGACCTTGTCGTAGTGATCCAGTAGCTGAGACAGACAGGAGCGACCTGTTCTAAACCCATGTTGCCCTGGGTTGTGTAACTGATGGGTTTCTAGATGGGTGGTGATCTTGCTTCTTAGGACCCTTTCAAAGATTTTTATGATATGGGATGTTAGGTACTAGTCGACTGGTGTGGGTGGCATCCTGGGGGACAAGATTGAGGACCAAAATGGAAATAAGACAGACAGTCCTCGATGACGCACTGACTTTCTTGGGTTGTCCTGGGTGGCTAACCCTCAGGGGTTAAAAATCCGAACGAAATCTTCACTTCCTTCCACTTTGGTGGCCTGGTGGCTAAAGCTCCCGCTTCACACACGGAGGGCCCGGGTTCGATTCCCGGCGGGTGGAAACATTTCGACACGTTTCCTTACACCTGTTGTCCTGTTCACCTAGCAGCAAATAGGTACCCGGGTGTTAGTCGACTGGTGTGGGTCGCATCCTGGGGGACAAGATTAAGGACCCCAATGGAAATAAGTTAGACAGTCCTCGATGACGCACTGACTTTCTTGGGTTATCCTGGGTGGCTAACCCTCCGGGGTTAAAAATCCGAACGAAATCTTATCTTATCTTATCTTGAGGTTCCTTTTCTGAGCGCTGGAAGACCGGGTTCAATACGGCGTATGCTGTCAGTGACCCTATAAACCCTAACAACAACAACAACAACAACTTGAGGAATTAAGGTGTAGTGTTAGTGTAATGACGACTTCTTCTTCAGCCTTCGTCGGGTGTGGACGTCTCTCTCTTGCCTGAGTATCAGTGACAAATTTCCACCGTTCTCTCTGGGACGCTTGTCCTCGTGTATTTAGCCCACCTGGGACTACAGGAGGGACACCTGGTCATCAGCTTACTTGAGCCAGCTCCATTTTTTCCGCTCTTCGGAAAATTCTTTAACGGTCTTTGGTGGGAAGCTGGTTACTGGTGGGAGTGTGGGCGTCCCTCTGTGCTGGGGCTTGGCAAGGGCGTCCCTCTGTGCTGGGGCTTGGCAAGGGCGTCCCTCTGTGCTGGGGCTTGGCAAGGGCGTCCCTCTGTGCTGGGGCTTGGCAAGGGCGTCCCTCTGCTGAGGCTTGGCAAGGGCGTCCCTCTGTGCTGGGGCTTGGCAAGGGCGTCCCTCTGCTGGGGCTTGGCAAGGGCGTCCCTCTGTGCTGGGGCTTGGCAAGGGCATCCCTCTGCTGAGGCTTGGCAAGGGCGTCCCTCTGTGCTGGGGCTTGGCAAGGGCGTCCCTCTCTGCTGGGGCCTGGCAAGGGCGTCCCTCTCTGCTGGGGCCTGGCAAGGGCATCCACAGGATCTAATTGGAAACTTCAAGTTACTATCTCTGTTTACAAGAGAACTTTTGTTCCCTTTCATCGCTCAGCCTCGGGCAACAAATCTTCCTCATACCATCCAGAAGTCTGCTTATGTTGTCAGTGGCGCTGATAAACCCAACAAAGAAAGAAAGAAAAGAATTAAGGTGAAGTGTTAGTGTAAGTTTATTCAGGTATACACAAATATAGTTACATAGATTATCATACATAGCAGCATATATGTAGAGAACCTGGGATGACCCAAAAAAGTAAGACAAAGTGACTTTATTTCCATTGGGGTCCTTTTATTGCCTATTATTATACTATAAATACAAGGTGTACACACCATAGATGACATCAGTGACGTACTACTATATAGAAAGACGCTTGTTATGCTGAGCATTTCCCACAAATTAGGTCAGTTTTGTCCCAGGATGCCCCTCAAAGGGAGGTTCCTTGATGCTGGTGAGGGGCTCTTGATCTAAGGAATTGGATCTGTGCTCCAGTTCCCTGAATTGAGCCTGAATACCTTCCATCTCCCACACAGGTGCTATATAATCCTACAGGCTTAGCGCTTCCCCATGCGACCCACACCAGGCACCCATTATTACTGATAGGTGAACAGGGACAGGGATAACACGTATTTTATGGAAACACGTCCCTAATGTTATCCAGCCGTACTGGGGGTGTGATCTCCAGACCTCAGTGTGTGAGCTGAGTCTGCTAGAGATCGACCTACTATGATATCTTATTATTATATTATAAAGGAGATAATATCTTATTATTATACTATAAAGGAGATCACATATTATTATACTATAAAGGAGATAATATCTTATTATACTATAAAGGAGATAATATTTTATTATTATACTAAAAGGAGATAATATCTAATTATTATACTATAAAGGAGATAATAACTTATTATTACACTACGAAGGAGATAATATCTTATTATTAAAATATAAAGGAGATAATATCTAATTATTATACTATAAAGGAGATATTATTATACAGTGGACCCCCGCATAACGATCACCTCCGAATGCGACCAATTATGTAAGTGTATTTATGTAAGTGCGTTTGTACGTGTATGTTTGGGGGTCTGAAATGGACTAATCTACTTCACAATATTCCTTATGGGAACAAATTCGGTCAGTACTGGCACCTGAACATACTTCTGGAGTGAAAAAATATCGTTAACCAGGGGTCCACTGTACTATAAAGGAGATAATATCTTATTATTGTACTATAAAGGAGATATACATGTAGTAGGAATAAGGTAAACTGACATATTTATATTTACACGTGTGTTAGCTAAAAAAAATAAAAAGTCATTCTCCTCCCTTTCTGTCGCTTAGGTTACCTGGACTCGGCTATTACTCGAGGAATTAATGTGAAGTGTTAGTATTACCTGGACTCAGCTATTACTTGAGGAATTAATGTAAAGTGTTAGTATTACCTGGACTCAGCTATTACTTGAGGAATTAATGTGAAGTGTTAGTATTACCTGGACTCAGCTATTACTTGAGGAATTAATGTTAAGTGTTAGTATTACCTGGACTCAGCTATTACTTGAGGAATTAATGTGAAGTGTTAGTATTACCTGGACTCAGCTATTACTTGAGGAATTAATGTGAAGTGTTAGTATTACCTGGACTCAGCTATTACTTGAGGAATTAATGTGAAGTGTTAGTATTACCTGGACTCAGCTGTTACTTGAGGAATTAATGTGGAAGTGTTAGTGTTACCTGGACTTGCTTTCTCTAGTGTTTTATTCTTTAGTAATTATTCTCTTTATATACCAACTGATTACAGACCATAGCTGACATCAGTGAAATATATATAGTGAGCCTTTGGTAATGCAGAAATTTAACACAAGTTAATTTTGTCCCAGTAGTATCCAACTCACTCCAGTCGACTAACACTCAGGTACCTACTTACTGCTAGGTGAACAGGGACAGCAGGTGTAAGGAAACACCCTCAAATGTTTCCACCCAACCCGGGATCGAATCATGGACAGTCAGTGTGTGAAGCGAAAGTGTTGCTTACTAGGCCAAGGTCTTAAAAGAGAAAGTTGTACTCAAGCAGTAATATAAAATTTGAAATTCACTTGGGATAAGTGTAACGATGAGTGTGAGGTGGTTGGAGGTAGTGAAAGTTAATGGATTACCAGCAACAAGCAGACTTGAAGGCACAAAAATCATATTTCTGCTCTCCCAAACAGAAGTGTTCTCTAAATAAAGGTAAGAATATCTTTGTAGTCAGCAACTTAAGTTAGATATATGGACCGTGCCTTCTGTAACTTGCTGTTTCATCACCATCCCTATTCAGCCACTCCACAAAACTGGAGATCGTTGACTCAGTTTATTATAGTAGGTCATAATTTAGTAACTGACCATTTATTCATTAGCTACCTTTATTATTGTACATATTGTGTTAGTTAACTGCATAAGAAATCCTACTTAATAATGTGTCTAAATCTCAAGTAACATTTAAACCTTAAACTGTCCAAAATGCAGATCTTACATTTCAATGCGTAGCATGGAAGTAGATCTACGTTTATTTTTACATGCTTTCAAATGTAAAAAAAAAATGTAGATTACGTCGGAGCGCTTCACATGGAACGTAAGATCTTACGTTTGGGCAGTGAGATGTTTTAAGAGCCTAATAAAAAAATTTTGGCCATCAGTATTAAGAGATATTAGCGCCGCCATAGTTTGCAGAAAGTGAAGTTTGCGTACGGCAACAGCGGCGACTGTCGCCCACCCGGTATTCTTTTATTTACTCTAATTCAAAGAGTTTCTTGCTTTTTCAATATTTTTCTGTTCCGGTATCTTATGTGGCCAGTTGAGACCAATGTAAGTGCATTCTTCAAATATTACACTCATTGTTTACAAACACAATAACAGAAACAAAACTTTAACACTATTAGTTTGGGTATACATTTGTTTAAACAAACAAAACAATACTAAAACAATGTTTATTACTATTGTTCCTAATATATATACATATGTCCAGTTCACTAAAACACGTTCCTCTAGAACTGCTGCAGCTTGTGGGAACTCTTTTTGAAAAATGGGTATATGCAGAGGGGCACTTGACACTCCTCACACATTAAAACGAGTGGTCTATGCGTGTTGTGGGCGTTTGTGGTTGCATACTAACACCTCTTCTGATAAGCATTTTCTTGGCCAGTAGTAGCGGCAGTTGTATGGTGGTAAGTGATCCCAGGCCTGAAACGAGATGATTGTGTGGGCACTTGTCTATTGCAGGAGTTTGCTCCTTGGTACTTTGCAATTATTTGTTGATTTATGAAGAAAGCAAAATTCACCATTTTTGGTTGTTTTGTTGGTCTTCAACTTGTATATGTTATAAGCATTTAGCTTGAGATAGCAACAGGATGGGGAAAAAAACGTTTTATATACCACTTTAACTCTTGCGTAACAGTCTGCAACCCAATCTGCATGTCCACATTTGTCCACTTAAGCGCATATGGAGGTTTGTAGTCAATGGACAGCCTGCAGGCTTTTGGAATGGGTTCTGGTCTCTCTGTTGTCCCTGCCACTGGGTTCCATTTCGTTTCTGTAACTGATGTCTACATGTGATTCACGTTTGTCATGCCACAATATGCCATGTTGTCATGGCGCAAGGCTTGCATCTCACCTCGGCGAGTGCAGGTCGAACCTTGGCATATCTGATTACGTTACGGACACACTGTGCCACACCGTCTGTCAGTTCGCTCGCAAGAAATTCTGAGTAAGGGGCTGTGTACCAGTTATCAGTAAAATAAAACATTGGCCCCTTACCAAGATATGGTTCCATCATTGTTCGACCACATCACCTGAGATACCAATAAACTTCATGGTAACTCTCAAAGTATTACTGCCAATGTACCAATGATATCCAAAACTAGACCACTTCTGCAATCACACAGTACAATTAGCTTGATACCAAAGTGATTTCCTCTTGTTGGTATATATTGCTTGAATGAGAGTCTTCTTTGAATAAAAATCAAGGAACTCATTCAATAACAAGCTTCCTGAAGGGATAAAATACATGCAGCACTTTTGTTTCAGTACATAAACACATTTTGATCTTATATAACCTGACGCTTCTGTCAGGCTGGTTTTGTCTGAAAAGTGTAAAAACGTAACAGTATCAGGAATCGATTGACACTATATGTCACTAAAACCTGGAGTTGAAATCAGGGTTCTGTTGCCCAGAGTATGTGGTGACAGTGTGCTAATACACATGTGGATAAGCATTATTGTGGCAAAATCACAGGTAACATCTCTGCCACAGTTGGTCTCCTTCCATTGTGTTGCCGTGATTTGGTGAGAGAATTGTATTTTGCCATGGTGTAATCAAAGGTATGTGGTTTGTTTCCATGACAATGATGTCCATCCATCAGGGTTCATCGAAGAATAACTCAAAGCAGTTAGATTCATGGCATGTTACCAAGTGGACAAGATGGCTTTATTCCACTTTGTGTTTCATCAAAGTTCATGGGACTGGGGAACAAACTCGTCACCGTCTGCCAATCAGATGCGGTATGCTGGTGGGGTCTGGGATATTGTATAGGGTTGTGGTGTGCAGGTAGTGGTGGTGCAAGTTGTGGTGGTGCAGGTTGAGGGAGGTGTGGTAGGGTGAGGCTGGGTTGTTGTGCAGAGTAAGCAGCGGGGGTAGTAGCGTGGCACCGCTGATGGTTTGATGCCTCATGGGCCCGTGCCACCCTCACTATCACCACCACTGTCTGTCCATCACTCACATCATTCATACCCATCGTTACAATATCGTCATTTTCACTATCAGGTAGTGTGTAGGGCCAAGGGATGTGCTCACTGTGTTTCTCCTTTCCCTGGAAAAAACATATGAAACACTACCAGACCGCATGCACGTCGTACTACTGCGCTTCACTGGGGGAATATTTACTCTCAACTGTCACTAGAACTGGCTTTCAAATGGACTTGGACCAATCACTTCACTATCACTGCTAAATTGGGTGTTGTAAACGACCAATTAGTTTCCTCTTTCATTCCTGGTTACAGGCGAATGTGAACATGATACAGCCGGACCAGCACCTGAGGTGGAAAGGTTGTGGGTCATCTGGGTTATCATCACTAATTTACGTTATCCGGGGCACTTTTTCGGTAACACTCACTTCAAATACCCGGGGAATTCACTGTCACTGACATTTTCATCGCTGTTAGAGCTATCACTTGGGGAACAAAAGACCTCCAATCGACCGAGGAGAGGAGTGAGGGAACTTCTTACGAAGAGGCATGGTGAAAATTGGACTAACAACATTGGTGTTCCCACATGTTTTTTTTTTTACACGCTGGGTCCAGATTTTTTTCACAGGGTGCACACCGACCACTGAGACCCATTCTCTCTCATGTAGACCTACCAGGCCTTTTCCGCTTGATTTGAAGCCGCTAGAATTTGTGCGTATAAATACGTCAGAGACATTGGCTCGTAAGACGTATTTAATCATCGGAGAACAGTCAAAGGGGTTTAAGGTTTAAGCATTAGGATTAGGTTGCCTGAAATGCATTGCATACAAATGGCTTTCTTTTTTGACTACCAGTGTTTTATTGCATGTAACTTACATTACTTGTTCCAGATGAAGAGATAAAAATTGTATTGAATTGTAACAGGGACAGAAGGTGTGTTTCCCAAAAACTGGTGTTGATGACATAGTCAGCAGGTTGGATAATATTATGTCAAGTAATGTAAACAACCCCATTGTCTGCCATAGTGCCAAGGGAAATGATATTGGGAACAGCAGGAGATAGGAGCTACTAGATAAGTAGAGGACTGCTGTAGATTTAATTAGGTCCAAGGGAAGGGATCCTATCATGTATAGCATTTTGCTTAGAAGAGGAGTTAACAGTGAATGGATATCTAGTGCAATTGGTGTGAACTGGCAGGTAGACATGTACTGTTCATTGTTTTTTGGATTCTTAGCAAGTATAGCAGAAATAATTTCATCATCTGCACAAGAAGTCGCAGGGCCACCACAGTTACCTTTAGACTCTTGATTGGTTCAGAGACCCACAAAATCAGCATCAGCAGGAAAACAGAAATCTATGGAAGTCTTGGCCTCTCACTTAACCTCAGTAGTTGGGAAACTAAGCACCAAAGCATGATTTTTAGACTCCCTAGCATGCATCTCCTTCCCCCATTTTGTTTGTTCACTGCCATTCCTAACGACAGTAAAAGACTGAGGAGAAGCAACAAGGTCTTGCATTTGCCAATAAGGTTAGATAGCTTCTCTTCCACCTGTTTCTGCTTTTTAGCAAAATCATTCACAATATTACCAACAGTATCACTGAGTGCATTGATTACAGCCACATGAACATTGTCCAGCAAAACGCCCATTCGCTGCACACCCAGCAAAACCCCAAATTATAATGCCTGCACATACAATTATAATCTACTCAGGCAATGTGGAACCATTTACTGTACTATATAGGACACTTAAGTTCCATAGCGTTTTTTGCAACCTTATCGTATATACAGGACACCCATCCTTTCCTATCTTTAACAAATCCTTAACTAAAACAAATTCAAGAAAGTAAATAAACTGTGTGGAGAAAACCCCAGACAGCACTGCCTATGTTTGTGCCACGTAGATATCTGTGCGAGGTCACTACCAGCATGTGGGGTACAACTTGATTGCATTCTGTATAGAGTGTAACCCAGCACCAACATGTGTCAGCAATGAAAACTTTTCAATTACTAATATTACAGATAATGTTGAGCATAGTTACAGTACAGGTCAACTTCATTGGTTTTCTATAAGACATGGGGGGTGGAACCACAACCTCTGGATTTTAATAGGGAGTGTGTCTATAGAAAAATTGATTCCAATTCCAGAAATGATTATTACAAAGATTTTTTTTTTTTTTCAGGTGGGAAGGGTGTATCCCATTTGTTAGTTGGGATCTCCCAGTACAGTATTGTAAATGCATTATTTATTTTAATTGTATTTTACTAATTGTTTGTAATAATTCACAGGTTACAGGTGAAATATGGAGCCAGGCAAAACCTGCAGTTTTTATGTTAAGCGAAAAAAGAGATACTGCAAAATGTTGGTTAGAGCAGGACAGAGCTACTGCGGACAGCACCTGGTCGAGGAACATGTTAATGGGGTATAAATATTAATATATTACTGGACATTAATCCAAACACTGTATATCTTAAATGAATTTCTGCACCTACCCATCGACGTCGACGAGTGGTTCCGAGAAACCGGTGGTAAGTCGAACTTTACTACTGAATATCAACAAAACATTTTTGTAATGACTTTATTTTATTGTTTTATTTTGGTATTTCATGTTTTACTTTACTTTTTATGCTGTTAGTACTGTATTTTATACTGTAAGGTTTAGGATAAACACTGTGTACAACACAAATAGTTGTTTATTTCCCAGAAATTTGGCATAAAAAACACGGTTGTAAGACGAGTGGTCGTAAGTCGAGCAGATCGTAAGTCGGATGGTAAGGTGTATTTCAAATTATGTAATGCAAGTTGATGAAAAATTTTTTTTATTTAACTGGTTTTTTTTTTTGCAGGCAACTTTTTCCATAGATATTAGACAGAATTTGTTTTTAAAATTTGTTATAATTGAGAAAAAAATTTGTATTTCCTCTTTACTATAGTGGAAATAAAACACATTAATTTTAATGTAAAAATCATTGTTTTTTGCAGGAAACTAACCAACTCAAGAGAATTCCTTGCCCATTAGATCCCAAACAGTAAGCACCATTACATTATTTATAATCTGATCTATAGTAAGCTCTGTAAAAACGATATTGAGGCGCTTGTAGGAACCTTAGATAGCTTTTAATAATCTAATGAAGTTTTTATTAAATGTGGTTATTTTTACTTTTTTTTGGGAATGTGTAGTATGTATTTGTGTTGCGTGTGTTTGTTGCTTTTATTGTGTGTAATTTTATCTTTTTTTTTTTCATTGTGTAAATATATTTTTTTCGTATGAGCAGTAAGTGAGCTACTGGACAGGATTCTCTGGAAATATCACAACTAATGTGTGCAACAACCAGAACACTTTCAAAAAATCAAATCAAATCAAATCAAAAATCAGAAACATTATTTCTTTTGCTAGGTTCAATGTGTGTATACATTTCATTTGATTTGGTTGCAAAGAAAGCGTATCAATGCGGAGGTATTTCGGGCAGACTTAACTGGTAGTGGCAGAATAAAATATTCTGTATTTTTACTCTATTTAATATTATTAGGTCATACACTTTATGATTGCAAAAATACATCTTTAACCTTTAAACGTCCAAACCGTGGTATATATATATATATATATATACTGTGCTTATGGGAGGTCTAAAGAAAAAATTGCAAAGGTTAGTGGATGGTTTGGGAATGTGTGTAAAGCTAGTAAGTTGAAAAGTGAACATAGAAAAGAGTAAGGTGATTGAGGGTATCAAAGATTTAGATAAAGAAAAATTGGATATCAATTTGGGGAGGAGGAGTATGGAAGAAGTGAATGTTTTCAGATACTTGGGAGTGACGTGTCGGCAGGATGGATTTATGAAGGATGAGGTTAATCATAGGAATTTGATGAGGGAAAAAAGGTGAGTGTTGCGTTGAGGTTTATGTGGAGTCAAAACAACGTTATCTCTGGAGGCAAAGAGGGATGTATGAAGTATAGTAGTACAACACTCTTAGTTATGGGTGTGAAGCTTGGGTTTGGTAAAATGCAGCAGGAGGGGAGACGGTTGGAGGCAGTGGAGATGTCCTGTTTAGGGCAATGTGTGGTGTTAAATATTTTGCAGAAAATTCGGAAGTGTGGAATTAGGAGAAGGTGTGGAGGGTTAATAAAAACTAGAGTAGAGGGCAGAGAGGGGTTGTGAGGTGGTTTGGTCATTTAGAGAGAATGGATCAAAGTAGAATGACTTGGAAAGCATATAAATCTATAGGGTAAGGGATAGGCGGGGTAGGGTGTCGTCCTCGAAAAAGGGTTGGAAGAGAGGGGGGTAAAGGAGGTTGTGTGGGTAAAGGGGCTTGGGACCTTCCAGCAAGCGTGCGTGAGAATAGCGTGTTAGATAGGAGTGAAGGAGAGAAATGGTACTTGGGACCTGACACTCTGTTTGGAGTGTGAGCAGAGGTAATATTTTTGTGAAGGGATCCAGGGAAACCGGTTATTTTCATATAGTCGGACTTGAGTCCTGGAAATGGGAAGTACAATGCTGCACTTAAAGGAGGGTTTGGGATATTGGCAGTTTGGGAGGGGTATGTTGTGTATCTTATATGTGTATGCTTTTAGGATGTTGTATTCGTGCACCTTGCAAAAACAGTGATCATGTGCGAGTGTGGTGAAAGTGTTGAATGATGATGAAGTATTTTCTTTTTGGGGATTTTCTTTCTTTTTTGGGTCACTGCCTCGGGGGGGTGAGGCGACTTGTTGAAAATTATATATATATATATATATATATATATATATATTTATATATATATTTAATATATATATATATATATATATAATATATATATATAATATATATATTATATAAATTTATATATTTATATATTTATATTATTAAATATATATATTATTTATATAATATTTATTTATATTTTTATATATATATATTGTATATATATATATAATATTTATGATTTATATAGATATAAATATTATTATATATTTAATATTTATATATATATATATTATATATATTTATATATATATGTAAAAAGTAAAATATATATAGTTCACTCGCGCATAGCCGACTATTTTGAAAAAAAAAAAAATTTATATAGGGACACAAAAGAGAATATTTTTTAAAGTTTTTAGAATAAAAAAAAAAATTAGGGGCAGTTACTTAAGAGATATGGCAGAGAAGTGGCACTGGATGCTCACATGACGGCAACATGGAGTCCTGCTGCTTGCAGAAGTGTTGTCAATATACCCTTTTTTTCGATTTTTCATACAGTGGTCCCTCAATAATATTTTTCATACAGTGGTCCCTCAATAATTGTCCAGCCTGAAAGTCGTCCATTTCGGAAATAGTCCTGTTTTTTCGTTCATTATATTGGCTGCAAATGGTCTGGAATCGCTAATAGTCCTTGTCCCGGACCGTACTCACGCTCTGAGCTGCCTGGCCTTTCCTTCCCAAGCCAAGTGTGCCATTGTTTACCAGTGTACGCGAATGGTCCCCTCCACGTGGCTCAGCAAAATATTTCATAATATTCCATTTCTTTTAGTGCTTGCAAGTTATTTTAAGTGCTAAATAAGCTACCATGGCTCCAAAGAAAGCTCCTAGTGCCAAGCCTTTGGTAAAGAAGGTGAGAATTACGACTAAATTTTAAGAAAAACATCTTTGAACAATATGATAGTGGCGTACTTTGTGGGCGAATTGGCCAAGGATGTATAACAAATCCTTTAAAACCATATCTTCCATCACAGCCAAGAAAAAGGAAATCAAGGATGCTGTTGTTGCAAAGGGGGTAAATATGCTGACAAAATGAGATCACCAGTACTCGATGTGTTGAGAAGTTATTATTGGTGTGAAAAAATGAGAAAACAATTAACAGGAGATAGTTTAGGGACGTCGCGTATTTGTGAAAAGGTAGGCAGTTGCATGACGATTTGGTAAAGAAATTGCCTGCAACTAGTGATGACGTGAGTAAAATTTAAGCCAGCAAAGGCTGGTTTGAGAGATTTTAAGAAGCGTACTGGCATACACAGTGTGGTGAGGCATGGTGAGGCTGCCAGTTCGGACCACAAGGCGGCTGAAAATTATGTGCCTGAATTCAGGGTACATAACAGTGAAGGACTGAAACCTGAACAAGTGTTCAATTGTGATGAAAACAGGCCTTTTTTGGGAAAGAAATGCCGAAGAAGACCTACATTTACTCAGGAAGAAAAGGCACTGCCAGGAATAAGCCTATGAAAGACAGGCTGACGTTTAATGTTCGGGGGCTAATGCTGTGGAGATTTCAAAGTGAAGTCGTTACTAGTGTACCATTCTGAAAATCCCAGAGTGTTCAAGAAAAACAATGTTATGAAGAGTAAATTGTGTTTTGGAAATCTAATAGTAAGGCATGGGTCACGAGGGAAATTTTTGTCGAGTGGTTCAATGAAGTGTTTGGCCCTAGTGTGAAGAATTCCCTCCTGGAAAAAAAAAATTGGATCTCAAGTCCCTCCTGTAATGGACAATGCACACTGCTCATCCCCCAAAACTTGGATGACCTAATTTTCGAGGAGTTTGGGTTCATCACAGTGAAGTTCTTGCCCCCGAATACCACTCCTCTCCTCCACCCCATGGATCAGCGGGTTTCATTGCAAAATTTTTAAAAAAACTCTACACCAAAGCAATGTTTGAAAGGTGCTTGAATGTGACCTCAGACACTCACTTGACCCTACGAGATTTTTGGAAAGAACACTTTAGTATTCTCCATTGCGTAAGCCTTATAGGTAAGGCTTGGGAGGGAGTGACTACCAGGACTTGGAACTCTGCTTGGAGAAAACTGTGGCCAGATTGTGTCCACAAGAGGGATTTTGAAGGGTTTGGGGCTGACCCTGATGAGCCTATGTCAGCTGTTAAATCCATTGTGGCACTGGGGAGTTCCATGGTGTTGGATGTGAGTTTGGAGGATGTGGAAGAGTTGGTGGGGACCAAACGAAGAGTAACCACTGAAGGGAGCTGCAAGGCTTCAGCAGGAAGAGCAATAGATCGCAGCTCAAAATTTCTTGCTGCAGGGAGGAGGAAGGGAGATGGAGGAAGGTGCCTTCTTCAGAAATTAAGGAGATTTTTGAAATGTGGGTAGGTTGGAAAGATTTATGGAAAAAACATCACCCAGGGGAAGGATGTTGCAAGCCATATCGGCAAACTTGTACAGTGACAGGTTTTGGGCCCCCATTTTAGAGAAGTTTTTAAGAGACGCCAGAAACAGAGCTCTTGGACAGTTTTTTTGCGAGACAGGACTCCATTTGACTCTCAAGGTGGTCCTAGTGGCATTAAGAAACAGAGAAGAGAAGTAACCCCAGAAAAGCAATTGGTACCCGAAGTGTTGATGGAAAGGGATTCCCCTTCCAAACAATAAATCATCCAATCAGTTTCCTT